ACCATACCACTTCATTAAAAGTGATATCCATTATTTATAACATAACATCACGCTTTTTCCCGAAGGAGTAAGCAGAAATGCACATTACGGCACTTAATGCCACTGTACAATGTAATATCCACAGTTTTTTACTATTTATGTTATGAGTCCCATGTAATAGGGGGTGAGTTTATTGCTATATACCGGGCCACTTCCAGACTCTTGAAAAAACCCAGTAATACTTTGCCCAACCCGGGAATGGAACCCGAGACTCTTTGCCAGGCGATCGCACTTGCGACCACTCGGCCAACGAGGCAGTAAAATGATATCCATATTCTTTGTTTTTATTGCTTACTTAGAATTGGTAACTTCATATCAATAAGCTACCAATTAAATATTTGATACAATTAGAGCTGGTTTCAAAGCTAGGGGATATGGGCAGCGCGGCTGAAGCGCGGGCTTCAACAATAGAGGCATCAGGCAACAATCCAATAGAGGAGTTAATCGAGTGGCCACAACTAGAAGTATTAAATTAGGAATCTTGCCTTAACTGAAATTGAAATTCAATACAATATTTGCGCACAAAGATCAGATTAGGTGCGGTCTTCAGTTACTTAAGGTTTAGATTAAAATAAAAGTGTATCTCATAGATCATAATTTCTAGCGATAAAGTCCTCTACTGGGACCTCTACCTCTATGACAGTGCGTCGCAATAAAACGATGCTAGAGCTCTCATCATCTCCAAGCGCGAGGCATTTCAGCAGCGCTGCCCAGTCCTCTAGCTCTGAAACCAGCCTAAATGAAAGAAGTTTTGAACATATATACTTAATAAAACCATTCTAGTAATAAGATATATTCTTATTATCTTTACTAATTACGGACGCCCAATAGCTATACGTGGACGTTCAATAGCTATATACGGACGCCCAATAGCTATATACGGACGCCCAATAGCTATATACGGACGCCAAATAGCTATATACGAACGTTCAACAGAAATACTGACGATCAATAGCTAGGTGATCTAACATGATACCTTTTTTTTTGAGGGATAAAAATCATCCAATGCCTTTTGCCGCCGGCCGCCGGCGCGCCGCGTGGTGAGGCGAGTGGAAGTTTCAGAGGAAGTTTCTCTTACTGACTTTTTTTTAAGCGGGGAAAATCATCGATTGACTGCTCCCGCCTGGGTAAGGCGGGAGGGAGTGTCACTCTTACTGACTAAAAACCACCCCGTTCCTTCTCCTGCACGTCCAGCCGGAGCCCCGGTTACCCGTTAGGTTCTTCGCGACTCCGACTCGGCATCGGCCCTGTTGGGCCCCATCTGTGGTGGTTTTATGGCTCTTTGAGGCCCGCGCGGAACGCGACGCGCCGCACGTTCAGGTCTGTTTCTGGTCGGACGGGGAGCCACCCATGCTCGCCGTCCGCAGGCCCGCGCTTACGGTGGCCGGAGATCGTCCCGCGATCCCCGACGCCCGGTGTGTCCTTCGCGATGGCTGGGTTGCGAGGAGGCAGCGCTTCGTTGCCTCATGCGTCCCGCCTCCTCCTTAGCTAGCTTAAATGCTTCACAAAAGGAGGAGACGGCATCCCAGTCCCCCTCGCTCCGCATCATGGCCTGCACTAGGCCCGGACGCGAGAGGTCGCCATCGCCGATCACTTCCCTGAGGGTACGGCGGTGCTCAGCCCACGCAATGCATTCCGCTATAGTGTGTTCCACCGTGTCCTCAGGGCGGTCCTCACAGTGATGACACCCGGACGTTTCCTCCCGCCCCATCAGACACAGGTAACTTCCGACTCTTACTGACTTAAAACCACCCCGTTCCTATTCCTGCACTTCGAGTCGGAGCCCCGGTCACCCTTTAAGTCCTCTGAGGCTCCGTATGGGCATCAGCTCAATCCGTGGTGGTCTGATGGCTCCTTGGGGCGTATGTGGAACGCGACGCGCCGTATGCTTGGGTCTGGTTCTGATCGGGCGGCGACTCATCCGTGCTCGCCGACCGCAGGCCCGTGCTTACGGTGGACGGAGACCGTTTCGCGATCCCCGACGCCTGGAGTGTCTCTCGTGACGGCTGGAGCGTGAGGAGGCTCGTTCCCTCACGAGCTCCGTCTCCTCCTTAGCTAACAGGACTGCTTCGCAGAAGGAGGAGACGGCATCCCAATCTCCCTCGCTTCGTACCATGGTCTGGTCTGAACCAGTGTCTGACGCGAGAGGTCGCCGTCGCCGATAAAATTTCTGAGGACATGGCGGTGTTCAGCCCACGCAGGGCACACTGCCACCGTATGCTACCCGTGTCCCCGGGTGGCCCTCGCCATGATGACACCCGAGCGTTTCCTCCCGCCCAATCCGAAGCAGGAACCTACCGAAAATATCGTGTCCGGTAAGCACCTGCGTCAGGCGGTAGGTAAGGACGTCGTAGCGTCTCTGTCTCTCAATCCACTCCTCAAATCTAACACGACACCTGCTGAGGAAGTACGTGGATGTTCAATAGCTATATACGGACGCCCAATAGCTATATATGGACGTTCAATAGCTATATACGGACGCCCAATAGCTATATACGGACGTTCGATAGCTAAGTGATCTTACATTATACCTGCTGAGGAAGAAACTTTCTTCGCGCGCATGGCCATCGTCAGGCTCCGCAAGAGACCCCTGCCATTACCATGTCAATTGTCAGGATCCGCAATCAACGGACCTCCCATTTCCGTGTGTGAGCAGTATAGTGATGTAGCTTTTTACTTGATGACCATAGCGTTTGGGTCAACTGAAATTTGCATGACCATTTTTGAATTCCTAACGTAGCCCAGTAGATGGTGCTAGTCCAGCAGTGGACTTAAATAGGCTGATGATGATTAATAACTATATACGGACGCCCAATAGCTATTGGGCTCTATAACTGTGAAAGATCATCTAGCTACATTTAAAAAGTATGTTATTCCTACTGCGGCATCTTCTCATGTAAAAATCTCATAGAAACCTCAATTTTTTTGCATCTTGTTACCAATATTATACCAATACCGGGCATTAGTATAGATTTTACGAATATTGTAATACTGTTAAAACTCTGTCCCAGACGAGTGACAAGAGAGAGGAAAAGAAAGAGACAAGTGAACCCAAAGCTGGCAACGTTGCACTCGCAAATACCATCCACGCTGTGAGGACGTTAATTAGCCGAAGCCATGGTTAAATCACGATCAATATATCTAGGAGCCCAATTAGTTATCACGATGGTTTGGGGTTCAAAAATGTTGCAGCATGACTGCAAGAAGAATATCGTGAAAAATAAAATTATCGGAAAATGACGTATCCTACAAAGCTGGAAATCGAATAACTAAGCAATATTCATTAAGACATATAAAAAAAATTAAGGGGAACTGGGGGACGTCGTAATGATGCGCGACGTGTGTGACGCCAAAATGATTCCAGGATGTAAATATATATATATATATATATATATATATATTATTTTAACATATCATAGTTATTATGCCAAATTTAGTTAAAACACGCTCTTAAAAATACGAAACAAGAAAATTAGTCTCACTGTAATCACGTTCTACGTATGTATGGCGTAAAAACATAAAAATCTGTTGTTTATTTAATATTTACTATAGAACGTATTTTTAGCAGTCAGGTTTTTTTTAACTTTTATCCTCTATTAAATATACCTTATGCCTTTGTTTTTTTATACTCGACAGGTTGACGTTTGACCACCATCTTGCCTGGTGGTATATAAGTAATAAATAATCATCATATAATTAAATGATCAGTTTACGGAATCTTTACTATAAGGGATATGCGCTATCTATATATATACGTTTTCTACAAGACATATACATACAAGCATTCATTTTTCACATACACAACATCACGCCTTTTATCTCCGAAGGGGAAGGCAGAGGTGGACATTACGACACTTAATACCGCTGTACAGTGTAACACCCACTTTTTACTATTCATGTTATGAGTCCCATGTGGTAGGGGGTCATTAATTTTTATATATATATATATAGACTAGCGACCCGTCCCGGCTAGCGTCAACAACACGTGGTAATTATTCTGTTAAAATGTAGCTTATATGACACGTTCGTAGATTTACCACAGCAGCGCCATCTATTGATTACTTACTCAACCCAGTCGAAAGGTATCGACATCTGTTAGAATCATTTGGAGTTAACAGATAATTGTGACTGTCAAATAATAACAGAAATAATTAGCAATAAATTAAAATTGCGACTATAATTTGAGATTTAAACTATCCTATCTCTCAAGTTGGATCGAACTGCACATGGTGAGCGAATTTTATTATAATCGGTTAAGTGGTTTAGGAGTCCATTGAGGACAAACATTGTAACACGAGATTTATATATATTAGAAGAAAGATTACCATAAATATTACAAATAATGTGGCATCTTCAGAGATCGGAGTAGATAGATTGATTTAAGATCGTTGATGTCAAACGTAGAGGATATGGGTATGCCATATGATAATAGTAACTAGCGTCATTACTATGTGTACTACGTATAATAATTAATAAGTTAACCTATTTATTTTTCGATTAATAAACAAGCTTAACGTCATGTTATCAAACAAAATGAGTACTTACTGATAAAAAACAGGTAATGAACCGACACCACTCCAACTTTGAATAAAGAATTACATTTCCCAGTGGTTGTATTTTTTACATTTCATGAGCGCCTAGTACTTTTAAATTATTGATAGGCGATGATTTTGTCTTAGAGTTACAGTTCTTGATTCCGACACAAAACATATGAAATAAATATATTTAGCTACAAAATATCATTTTTAGCACAAGTACGCTAGAGTTTCTAAACGATTTCTCTGAGATAAACTCCAATACAAACTCATAAGCCAATTTCTGTTAAGATTGTGCATTATATTACTTAAAAAGAGAAATTTCTTTTAAGTATGTTCTGTAGAGGTCTTTAAAGAAATAATCACACGAGTTTAAATAGCGAAGTAATGAATGATCGTATTAATTGATTGTAATGTTATTTACAGGTACTGTTTAGGAAACCATACAACAATAAGAGATGTTAATCTGACTAACACCAAAGCGGTGGCTGTAGTATGCGCTGATGAAGAAGAGGAGATCATTGATGACAGGATTCTCGGCTATACTATGATAATCTCTATAATATTCCTGGTGATGACCATATTTGTTTATAGCTTTCTACCTGAACTTAGGTCAGTACAAAGATTACTATTTCAAAATGATAAGGTGGAATTTTGTAAACCGCCGTTTTACCAATTTAATTTCAAATAGCTAAAATCTAATTTCATAGTACCTAATATTAGTTAGGAAAATTTATAATTATGCAAAGAAAATACTGTATACTATATTTAAGAGTTAACAAAGCTTATAGTTAGGCTTCATTACGAGATTAATTGAATTGAATTCGAAACTTGTAGAAACACGTACAGGTTAATGTAACATAACATAACATCACGCCTTTTTATCCCCGAAGGGGTAGACAGAGGTGTACATTATACCACTGTACAATGTAACACCCACTTTTCACTATTTATGTTAAGAGTCCCATGTAATAGGGGGTGAGCCTATTGCCATATACCGGGCACAATTCCAGACTCCGTGCTACTACTGAGAATATTTAAAAACCCAGTAATACTTTGCCCGACCCGGGAATCGAACCCGAGACCCCTTGCCCGGCAGTCGCACTTACCACCACTCGGCCAACCAGACAGGTTAATGTACTAAATATAAAACTTTATTTTACAGAGATGTTCAAGGGAAAAGTATAATAAACTTCTGCATTAGTCTCGCTATTGGCCTAGGAATACTAGTCATTATGAAACTTATGACTTATTATGATATGGGCTGGTGTGCAACTCGAGGTAAATACAATGATAATAAATATAATATATGATAATAATATTATAATAAATATAACGATGTTGTTTTCCTAATTAATGTTTTTGTATAGGTACCTACGTAAAAATTTATATTAACACATATTACAGTGACACTGTGAGCTGATGTTTAATCTTTTTTTTTAGGTTTTCTAGCTTACTTCTTTCTAATAGCTGCATTTTTCTGGTCGAATGCGATATCAATACAGGTCTTGATAAACACAAGGTCAGTAACTATAACATTTTTTTTTAAGTATATGCTTCATTGATCGATAATACTTTTGAAATTTCTACTACCTAGTTCCGTTACCAACTCCTAAATTCACATTTTTATCTCGTGAATGATGAAATATTTTTTCAATTCAGATTTATAATCTAATTTAAATACCTAAAATAACCTTTATTTCCGTTATAGACGACCTGCGATATCAATGGACCATGGCTGGAGGCATTTTAAATTTTATATGTTATATGCATGGGGCTGCCCAATGGTCCTAACAATATGCATGGCAATCGTCAACTTTTACCCGGGTAAACATCAGAAACCGGGAATCGGACTGAATCACTGCTGGTTCTTCAGTAAGTATTAGTATACACTTTTTCTCGAGAGTTGGACCTCCGGTCCGATTAGGAGTAAAGGAAATCTTCCTATATGTACATGGTTATTTCATTATTTCCAATATGATAATGAGACCAAACCTAATGCTAAAGTGTAAAGATATAAAAGAAATTGTGGAAAAAATCTTATAACACTATTTGTGTTTGCAGCTAAGCATCAACAATGGTACTACATGTATAGCATCATGTTCCTACTCTTGGTGATCAACTTTTGTATCTTCATCTACACATCGTTTCTAATATGGCGGATACCTGTCTCATCCAGTCTTAAAAGAGCGGTGAAATACAAGTAAATATTATTACATTTGTTCCATTATGACTGTACAGTTGGCGCGGTGGCTGGGCAACTGGCTCCCACGCAACATGTCGCGGGTTCGATACCCGCACGGAACAACTCTTTGTGTGATCCACAGATTGTTGTTTCGGGTCTGGGTGTCATGTGTATGTGAACTTGTATGTTTGTAAACGCATCCACGACACAGGAGAAAATCCTAATATGGGGCGACGTTCCTTAAAACAACAAGACCAAAAAATTATTGCCGACATTTGTAACCACAGTGAAGCAATAGAAATATAAAAAGTGGTACTCACTTCACTAATAGCTCTAAAAGTATGATTTTATTACCACCATGTATTTATTTTTTCAGGCTCGGTATGACCGTGCAACTTATCGTACTGATGGGTCTCCCTTGGGTTTTCGAAATGATCAGCTCATTAGCACCGAAGCACGTCATTTGGTGAGTATTTATTTTACTGCCTTTAAAAAAGGAGGAGGTATATGTTCAGTTTAGATTGTTCTACCAATTGGGTAATTTCCTTAATCAAAAATACAATACAATAGAATATAATCATGCTGTCATTAATTGATTAAAGGACCAACTTAATTTTAGTATTTTACTAGGTATTTTTTAAAAACGTTAAAAAAACGTGACGTCTAAACTATTAGAAAAACTTCCTTGGTTTATTAGCTACGCAAAAACATTAAATTATTTATAAGATTCTCTAAAATTAATTAATAAATTGATGATAAGTGTAAAGGACAACGGACAATTTCAAAAACATCATTATTTACAAACTTTTGTTCAAAGTAACCTTACCTATTATGAATACATGCTCTCACACGCTTCCTTACCTCTGTAACGGTCACTCTTGAACTGAATGAGCGACTTATTTTTTCAGCCGCTTCAATTATTTTTCTGCTTAGTATTTCTATAGACGTTAAATTAATTTTTTAATTAAAATTCTCTTGGTCTTATATAAGCATCGAGTTAAATAAATCTTCCTCTTTAGGCCGGCCATGAGTGGTAAAGTCAATGTAAGAAATATCAGTAGGTAGGTACAATTAGCACATTTATTTACGCAAGATAAATGCAAATTGTTATCGCGATGTAAATGCAATGCGTCTACATAGTCTACAATATATTAAAGCGAAATAGACACCAGATGCCAAAAACTGATGTAAGTAACTAAATCAATATGGTCAAAGTAAACAATTAGTAGGTACCGTATGTTAGCAACTAAAAAATGCGCTGCTGATAAGATTAGGTATATAGCGTTTTATCAGATTCCTAATTTTAAATATTACATAATGAACAGTCAGCACAGCTATTTACTACGCGGGTAAGAAAATAAAGATTGTTTCAGTACAGAGACAATAACCATTGGTTTACTATTTGATGTTAAGTTATTTGATGAACCAACTAAAGACTGTATTAGTATAATAATAGACACTGTTTCTATACTGAGACAATATTTATTTTCTTGTCTGAATAGTAAGTACCTACAAAATATTTATGTGCAAAATTATTGCATAAATTTGGTAATTTCAATTGGCGTTCCATAGTCTATGCCTATGGGAGACAGGTGCGAGGTTATGTATGTATGTATGTATGTGTGTAGTGTGTATGTACGGATGTATGTATGGGTAATTTCCTGTTTCAATTCCAAAATACAATAAAATATTCAATAACAATAAAACTTTTCTTAATTGATTGTATGATATGCTTAAGTTATCGAACTTTTCTAATCATTTTTTAAAGAAATAAGTGTGCTATTGACGCTAAAACATATGACGTCAAGAGACACGTTTTCATACATACATACATAATATAATCATAGAAACGTGTTGATTTTGACAGTTTAAAAAAGGTATCGAGTATTGAATTTGACTAGTTGCCAATTACAGGTTTATTGTCACAGTACACACTAGGTATTGGAGTTAAACTGAAACAATGTATTATTACAAGAACTAACGATCTATACACAGAAATAAATGAGTAAAATCAAGGAAAACGTAGTAGTTATTTGTGTTATTAATTTTCAAGTGTTTGGCAAAGTTTATCAACGATTCCGTCAGACGCTTTTGAGTGACGTGAAGGAAAAGTCAACAATAACGTCATTTATATCAACCACAAATTGTAATCATGTTCGATTTAATATTATATTCATAATTAAGTAGTCATGAGTCACCTGAAAATAGATAATTCAGTACAGAGACAACATTTTCATTTTGTAAGCTTCTGAGCGGACCACTCGAAACATACGGCTTCATTAAAGCATACAATTTATTATACAAACAGCTTCCACCGATCAGCAGTCTTTGTACTTAGTTAATCTTTATTGTCTTATCTGCATTATATATATCTAAATTTATTTTATATTGAGACTATTAAGTACTATATAACGTCAACGAGCACCAATGCACAAGTTTATTAAATAAAGCGTTACTTTATTAACAAGTAACCTATTTGTTAGTCAAAATAATTTTTAATTGTCGCCATTCGAGGACGGTAATTGGCTAGATTCCTAGATTTAATTTTTTTTTTCAGATGCGACATTTTTTTACTAATTATATTAGTGTCTCCAACTCCAAAGGAATAAACTTAAAACACACGAGTACCAATTGGAACAGTACATCCTACTTTTGGATTTTATCTCGCCAATTTTAAGGAAATAAGTATGCTATTTGACGCAGAAATATGATGACGTCATAAGTTGCGATCCAATACAAAATTCATAGAAAAGTATAGTTTTTGAAATTTCAATAAAAGTATTGAATTTGACTACCTGTCATCTACCGTATTGTACCTTTATATGATACGTGAGCACACATATAATCAGATAGACAGAAAGGAGTAGGAGTACCTGCTATGCAAATTAACATATATTTGATAATTTTTCAGGACCATATTGGACATCATCAACACGCTACAAGGAGTATTAATATTTTTGCTGCTAGTTGTATTTCGCAAACGAGTAATCAAAGTGATGTACAAACATGGCTGGCTCGATTGTATATCAAACTACGTTGAGAAGTACCTGGCGACGAAAGATGATGAGGAAAACGTGGTCCAACACACAGACGTCCCTATGAATGACAGGACAGTCCTATAAAACCCTATCGGCTCTTCGTCGAAGTGATCGAGCTCATCAGGCTTCGACCGCTTGCCAAATTGATATAGGCAATCGACAAAAATAAAAAATAAAAACTGCGTTAAAAAAACCGCCTTCAAAAACCAAAAATAAACGAAAGGTAAAAACTAAAAAGCAAAAAATAACTGTTATTAGTCGTACGTACTTATAGCTTACACACTGGTCACTGGTAGGTGAGAAGTCGGTGCCCGGTGCGGTCTCGGGTTCGATTCCCGGGTCGGGCAAAGTACCAATAGGTTTTTAAACAAAATCTCATTGGTAGCACGGAGTCAGGAATTGTGCCCGGTATATGACAATAGGCTCAATCCCTATTACATGGAACTCATAACATAAAAATTGAAAAGTGGGTGTTGCATTGCACAGTGGCTTTAAGTGCCGTCATGTGCACCTCTGCCCACCCCTTTGGGGACAAAACGCGTGATATTATATATATGTATCGAGTGTGTTTAAAAAGCTTTCTTCAGTACGCATAGCTATAAACAAACTTACAAGGCGATGTACTTAACTAGGTAGTTTAATTCTATACATGTAATGTTTAGTTTTAAGAGAATTTGATACAGTTTTTATGTAAGAGTAAAATAAAATAATATTAAGTAGGTAGGTAGATAGATACTTACATAGTTATAAATTGTAAATAATCGTCATATTAACAGATTACTAAAAAAATACACAAGTGCACCTACTATACATACTTATACGAGTATACAGTATGAGTATACATAGAACAGCATGTTATTGAATTCAGTAGTTGTAATTGTAATGTATCAGAAACTGCCCTGAGACAGTGACAAATGCAACTGTAGATGTAGGTGCAAGTCACCAGAAGGGGTCTAGTAGGTAGGACTGATGTGATGCCCGACCCGGAGCTGCAGATGACCTATCATGTTACCGGGGTTGGGACTTTTATAGTCAGTCAATATGAGACTCTCTCTTATTTACAGCAGAGGAATGTATTTGATGATTATTCTACCTCAAAAAAAGGTATCGGTGCAGTGAAGGGCCATTTTTTTGAGGCGAGTCACTCGTGCTCGCCGCCCGCAGGCCCGTGTTTACGGTGGTCAGAGATCGTCTCGTGATCCCCAACGCCCGGAGTGTCAACGCCAGGAAGTTCGTTGTCCTTAATTTAGCTCCTTAACTAGCATGACTGCTTCGCAGAAGCAGGAGACGGCATTCCAGTCCGGATCGCACCGTACCATGGTCTGAACCAGAGCCGGACGCGGGAAGTCGCCGTCGCTGATCACATCCCTGACGACACAACGGTTCCCAGCCTACGCAGGGCACACTGCCGCCGTTTGCTGCACCGCAGGCACTCCAGCCCGGAAGGCTGGAGTTGCGGCAGCGGCGGCGGAACCCGCCCCGCAAGCAGAGGACGGCGGCGGGTGGCAAATCGCCGGCGAGGCGAGGAGAGTCGCCAAGGAGGGCCGGAAGCACCGCAATAAGGCGCAGCGGTAGCGACGGTAGCAGCAGCGCAGGGAGAAACGCGCTGCTGCCTTGCTCCTCGCCCCTAAGACCGCGGCTGTAATCATTACCCTACAGCCTGAAGCGGTCAATAGGGGCTAATATATGGCGACATCCTCGCCAAACTAAAGGGGGCGGTGATTCCCGCGGAGTTCGGGGCCCCGCACGGGTTTGCGGTCAAAGTGACTGCCACTGGAGCCCGTTTTCTGGAGGTCCCCGGTGCGACCAGCGGCCCATCGGCCGACGCCCTGGCCGAGAGGCTTAGGGCGTGCCTCGGTGCGGACGAGGCTCGCGTGTCCAGGCCCACCAAATGCCTGGATGTCAGGATTTTGGGCCTGGACGACTCCGTAACGGAAGGGGAGGTGGTGGCCGCTGTAGCCAGGACGGGAGGGTGCCCTGCTGACCAAGTCAAGGCAGGCACCATCCGTCCGGACAATTCGGGGCTGCGCACGGTGGTGGTGAGCTGCCCCGTCACAGCGGCCAAAACATTAAAGGAGGGCAAAAGGTGCTACCGCTGTCACGTGGGGGAGCACGTGAGCGCCAAATGCACCTCGGAGGTGGACCGCAGCGACTGTTGTTTCCGCTGCGGTTGGCCTGGTCACAAGGCCGGCTCGTGCACCGCCCCGCTGCACTGCAACGCATGTGCGGCGGCTGGCAAGCCGGCCAATAAAATTAAATCCGAGTAATGAAATCAGAGTCTGAATAACATGCAATTATATTGTATCATCATTAATGTAGAGACCATATACAATTTATGAATATGATACCATCGAGCTGGTTTAATGAAGGAATCGGGAGTAGACTAAGCAAACTTGGACTGCCTGCTAGTAAAACCATTTAGTTTGGGTACTTTGAACTCATTGGATATGTCCATTTTTCTCAATGACAAGGACATTAAACGTGTTTTCATAATTTATTAAACTAGCTAAGATATTGTTTAAGTTGTAAATTATTTAGTTTTAATTGTACAATTGTAAATATGTATGTGTCATTGCTTTAATAAAAAAAGTTATTTTCTGCTTTTTAGTTTTGACTTTTTGTTTGTTATTATTTTTTATACTGTTATTAGTTTTTTGTGTTTTTTAATTAACAAATGTATTCTTAATGAAATAAAAATATGACCACGGTAGCCTGTGTTTTTTAACCATAACCTGTTCTAATTAGTAATTATAATAATATAAACTTTAGAATCAATTAAAATTGATCACGCTAATATTATAAATGTGAAAGTTTCTTTGTTTGGATGTTTGCCCGTTAATCACGCTGAAACTATTGAACAGGTTTTGATGAAATTTGGTATACAGGCAGGGTATGGGCTGGCCTAGGTGACAGAATTTTTATTCCGATTAAATGCTCCTATGGGATAACACAGGAATCATATTGTACGCGAAGTCGCGGGCATCAGCTAGTTTTATAATAATTATTATTGTACCTATACCACAAAAAGGATTTAAAACTAAGCATATTCTTACTAATATTATAAGCGTATGCCGTGATGGCCTGGGGGATTAGGCGCCCACTTCTGACGCACGAGAGTGCGAGTTCGAAACCCGACGCGACAAGTATCGATATACCTTTTTCAGAGTTGTATGTTTCCGTATTTTAAGATTAATTAGAAACTCCGACGGTGAAGGAAAACATTGTGAGGAAACCTGGGCTCATAATTTCTAATTATAAGTTTGAAATCGGCAATCCCCATTGAGGAAGCGTGGTGATTACTTGTTAAACCTTCTCCGTGTGAGAACATGCCTTTGGTCAGCAGTAACCACTTCTAGGTTGTTGATTATGATAAAAGTTTGTGTGTTTATTTGAATGTTTGTCACTCCAATACATCGAAAAGGCTCAAGGAATCGGAATCAAATGTCACAATTATTATGGTCTGGAATAACACATATGCTACTTTTTATCTCACGGTAATGCTGGCGAAACCGCGGGCAGAAGCTAGTTTTATTATAATTATGAAGTTTAGACAATACACTGAGTTAAGAACCCCTTTTACTTCAATTTTTGTTTTGGCAAAAAGTAGTAGATGTTATTATAAATACTATTTTAAAATTTTAGAAACACATTTTTTCAATAAGTTATTTCGAGTTAAAGGTATTTATTATTTTTACTTTGTTACAATAATATAACCATTAGAATTTATAAATAAAATAAATAACGTCTGGCGGCCCAGAGATCTCACTCGGAAGTCATAACAATAATAATTCGAGTACGGCAGCGCCACCTAGTTTGCGGCGGTGTAACTGGTAATAGCTAGAGACACAGAACATAGAATAGTATTTGTCTTTGATGTAAGTAAACATGACTTGATAGGTGGCACTTGGTAAATAAAAACAACGACAAAAAAGCCTTATCTCTTTAAATGTCTATGTCTGCTATCTTTAAACGTAGCTATTCGAAAAATCGCATATGATGCTGAACGCTGTGATTGCAATAACATAATTTCAGAAGTCTAAACGAAATATTTCTATTATCTAATCTAATCTATCTAATCTAATCTAATCTAATCTTCTATCTAATCTATATATATATATATATATATATATATATAATATATATAATTCAAAGGTGATTGACTGACTGACTGACTGACATAGTGATCTATCAACGCACAGCCCAAACCGCTGGATAGATTGGGCTAAAATTTGGAATACAGATAGATGTTATGACGTAGGCATCCGCTAAGAAAGGATTTTGATAATTTCCACCCCCAAGGGGGTAAAAAAGGGGATGAAACTTTGTCAGTTTTAAACCGATCGGGTTTAAATTTGGCATGCAGATAGATGTTATGACGTAAGCATCCGCTGTAAAGGATTTTGATAATTTCCACCCCCAAGGGGGTAAAATAGGGGATGAAAGTTTGTATGAGACTTTGTCAGTTTTAAACCGATCGGGTTGAAATTTGGCATGCAGATAGATATTATGACGTAGGCATCCGCTGTGAAAGGATTTTGATAATTTCCACCCCCAAGGGGGTAAAATAGGGGATGAAAGTTTGTATGAGACTTTGTCAGTTTTAAATTGATCGGATTGAAATTTGACATGCAGATAGATGTTATCATATAAGCATCCGCTAAGAAAGGATTTTGATCATTTCCACCTCTAAGGGGGTAAAATAGGGGGTGAAAGTTTATATGAAGCTTTGTCAGTTTTACACCGATGCAGATGAAATTCGTCATGCAGGTAGATGTTATGACGTAGGCATCCCCAAGTAAGGATTTTGATTATTTCCAACTCCAATGGGGTAATTAATGTAGGGGATGAACGTTTGTATGAAGCTTTGTCAGTTTTACACCGATCGGGTTGAAATTCGGCGTGCAGATGGATATTATGACGTAAACGTCCCTTTAGAAACGTTTTTGAACATTCTCACCCCAAAGTATGATACTTTGCCAGTTTTAAATTGATCGGGCTGAGACTTTGCATGCATAAATTTACTATGACATAGGTATCTCCTTAGAAAGGATTTTGATAAATTCCACCCCTAAGGGGATAAAATA